GAGAGAGAGAGAGGGAGGGAAAGAAACGCGTGCGCTCCTTGTGCGCTCGCACTCGACGCTCCTCGGCGTGTACGCTCGTTTCCGAAAACGTAGACCTGGCTCTGTGCGCCGGTATGCGACCTGCACTCGCGAGAGGCGGCTACCTGCCGCCTGCGAGTAGCGGCGCGGGTGCCGGGACGACACTTCGCGCGGCACCGCGACGAGGAGAGACCGTGCCACACCGCGGTCCCCGATATGCTCGACCGCTCGGGCCTCGCCCGTCCCGCTCGTAACTAACGTTGCTTACGTTACTCCTCGGGGCACTCTCTGTCGTCGCGCCGGTGCATTTCCTTTGAATCTCGCGATAACTAGCGACCAGACCAGACAGTACCGGGTCCGAGAGTACGGTTACCGCGTTACTTGGTGCGTCGTAGCCGTGTAGGACTCCTGTGTAGGAAAAATTAACGGAACCGAACTTGGGATCCTTCGTTACGAACCGCGACACTTATTTAATTAGTTTGCGACCACGATGGTTCGTCTTAACTGTTTATGCTTCCAATCTCCTTCGCACTTGAAGATCGCTTATTCCTTTCTTGCTTATATATTACTAACTTTGTTTTTCCTGCAAAATTTAATTAATTTCTTACACTTGCGTGTGAACAGGATCACTCGACTGCGGTAGCCCGCTGCGTTACGATCCGTAAAATAAGATACAGCGATGCTATATCTCTTGCCACTCATCATATCCTCTACGATGAGAGAAAGAGGATTGTATAAAAGTCGTTGGTTCAGAATAAAAAGTTATCATAGAAAATAAATTGCAAAGATAATTATTTATCTTAAAACTGCAGGTCTCTTTGTCTCTATTTTTACATAGAATACAATTAATTTTCTTTCCGCTTGTGTTGTGGAATTTAAATAATTAAAAATGAATTATGTATATGTCAATAGAGAGACATTTGGTTTTACATTAATTTCAGATGGACAAGCGATTGACAACTTCAAATTTTAAATTAATTGAAAAGTCAATGCGAAAGATGGATAAATCACAAAGAATTCATCGAGAAAAAGTAGATTACCGATTTACCGTCAAGCTCTCGTGTTGTTATAGACCCACCCACGGTAGAATGCTTTATATAACAACAATAGTTATTATATTCTCGCGAAACGGCGAGAACTGGATTACTTCTTTCGAGGACACATCAGCGAGTTGCAAGGTGTTAATCGTTAATATATGGTGCTCGCGAGTTACACGCAGGTTCGCCGTAGACACAGTACGCAGCGAGTTGCGTAAATTATTTTAATTATCCGAGTGGTTTACGCCTCAGAGCGTATGACCCAGATGAATGATTTTGCAATAAGCTCAGTTTGAAAAGGGACCGATAGCGAACTTAACGGATCTGGAACGTGGTGTACATTTGCCGTTTCCGATCAAGCGGCGTCGATCGGGAAGGATCATGGAAGAGTTGGCACGACGCGTATCGATCTTTGTTTTTCAATGACGGATCGCTTCCTGCAAGTTTGTCGCGTGATCGACCGAGTCGCACGCACGCATTCGCACTATGTGCGGGCGTGAGTGAACGCGTGTGTTTCCGCGCGAAGGTCGTTCGGCGGTTCCGCGGGACCGGAAGTGGGCCGGCCTTGCGGCACGGCCATCGGCGTAACCTTGCGAGCGAGCGAGCGAGCGAGAGAGAGAGAGAGAGAGAGAGAGAGAGAGAGAGAGAGAGAGAGAGACGT